TTGTTTCGACTCGCGAACATTTCGACTCGCGAACGGAGTCAAAGAACGAATTAAGTTCGTGACTCGAGGTACCACTGTACTAACATTACCGTCTTTGTCTAACAACGGCGAGGTCGAAATCTTTGGGACTCGCTCAACGTTTATGACGAATATCAAGTGATTACGATGCGTTTTTATTGCCGGTCGCAGTAGTAAGTTCTTAGTCGAAAACTTGAGAAAGGCTTTCGTTCATTACATGTGACTTGTAGTAGTTAATCGAGTAGGAGGCAAGAGTATTCGGTATGCAACTCGTAGATATATGGTGACTTAGTAACTGCTTATAACTCTCAACACGCAAATATTTTACCTTTCAGGCAGAATGACGTTCGTTCAGGAGCTAAATTATCTGTGAGTTTATTTCACTCATGGCTACAGATGCGTGGGAGTTTATTCACGATCATATTGTTATTGTACTGTGTGATACCGCAGGTTGTACCATTGGAAGCTGCACAGTCAGACACACCCCTGTAGGGTTATTGCTAAATAGCTTCATTGTATTAGGACTGCTATAAAGCCGTAATTCCAGACTTTCTTTCATGCATGAAAGACATGCACATCCGCACTAAAATTGTAAATGTTTAATAAACGGTCGGAACATTTATGAAGTGTTGAAATAAATAGTGTTTAGAAACTTCGGTAGCACTACTGATTTTCTGATACAATAGGTTGCCTTATTTTTCTCCGATGTTGGCTCATTAAACAAATTATTTAGAGAAGCTGGCTTAGTTTTAGGGACCATCCTTGATTTTGTTTGTTTTCGATTAACCAAAAGCTTGAGTATTTGTTTTACGTGTTGTTCTGTGCTTGTAGGTGCTGACATTGTTATCTGCGACGAAGGACATACAATTAAGAACGAGAAGACGGGTATCAGCAAACTGATGAGCAGTATTCGGACGAAACGACGAATTTGTCTGACTGGCACTCCTCTGCAGAACAATTTAATGGAATGTAAGTGTTGCTTTCTCGCCACGGCGACGCTCATAATCATTGTTCATTGACTGTTGATCTGTTAGACCACTGTATGCTGCAGTTCGTAAAGCCAAATCTACTGGGCACAAAAACTGAATTCGCTAATCGTTTCGCAAATCCGATCCGAAACGGTCAAATGTTAGATTCGACCGACTACGACGTGCGTCTGATGAAACGTCGCGCGCACATTCTGCATGATATGCTGTCCGGTTGTGTGCACGTATGAATGATCAGTTGATATGCAGTTAATCCTCTTACTAAATCCACGTGAGCTAACTTTTATAGAGGAAGGACTACAGCTGTCTGCGTTCGAATTTGGTGCTGAAATACGAATACGTAGTCTACGTGTCCCTGACGCAGAAACAGCGTGAGCTGTATCAGAACTACTTGAATGAGGTCATCAAGTCGGGGTTGTGTGGCAACTGGCTCAACGTGCGCAACTCGTTATTTGGCGACTTTCGTACTTTCCAATTGATCGCTGCCCATCCTTACTGCCTAGTAATGCAGAAGGCCGAACAGGATCACAAGGTATCCCAAATAACAGTAAAACTGTATACAAAATCTTGAAGCAGAAATTAACGAAAAAAGTGCTTGCGTTTTAGCCCTATTAATTTAAAGGAAAA